GATCACGAATCATTTCTTCTTCTCCACAAAGTCGATGAATAAGGAAATGTCTCCCGTCATGTGTCTTGAACATCCATTATCGAGAAACCATCTTCTCTCTATAGACTCAAGACATTGTACCTACACAATTCAAACAAGGGAAATAGGTACGCAATTTTTATTGGGTCCTTGGGTGTGAGTGAACCTTTGGTTTCATTTGGGAAACCATTGGAAAATACCTTTAGGAACCAAGAATCTCCTAAATCGGCATTTGGAAATGGTGTGACCCTTCTTGCAACAATATAGACAAGTACGGTTAATATGCGAGTTACATTTGCTATCTTTATTTCTAATCACATACGTATACTTTTGATATGGATTATTCATGCTTTCTCTAAAATGCGACTGATCAATAGCAAATGTGACTTTAGGTTTTAGAGCCTTGTCTAATTTGGCTTTAAGAGATCTAACCTCCTTTTTCCAAATATGACAAGTTTCGCAACCCCAATTTAACCAAGTACTTTTGTCCTCCTCAATTTCAGCTTTTGTTGCTTTCACCATAGAGTTCTTAAGAGCTTCTAATTCCTTTTCGGAATCGGAAATCGTTTTCTCTAAATTTGAAAAAATTTGCTTATTTGAAGCCAAAAGTTTAAAAGTTTCTTTAGCCTTATGGTGTAAAGTATCAAAAGCTTTTTGCAATTCCGAATGAGACATTTTATTAGAGTGATCATATTTGGAGTGTATTACCTCTTTCTTCTTCCTTTGATGAGCTATGAGACAAAGGTTTGACATATTCGTCTTCATCACTTGAGCTATCTTCACTAGAGGACTTGCTATCACTTTCCCAAGCAATGTATGCCCTTCTAGGTTTGCCTGATTTCTTTTGTTGACGACTCTTCTCTTTTCCTTTGTCTTTCTTTATTAATTGACAATTCGGCTTATAATGACGGGTCTTTCCATAATTATAGCATGACCCTCTTGATTTACCGCTCTTGCTGCCTTCATTCTTAGTGGACTTTAATTGTATTCAAAAATTGATGAGATTCTTGTCCGAGTGTTAAATACCATTTTTCCGGATATATCTATTATATCTTCTCACAAACAGTCCCAAATCTTCACTCGTATCTTCATCATCATCATCATTATATTAACTTCCACTTTGCTCTTGTGTAGAGGACTTTGAGCTAGAAGCCTTAAGAGCAATAAACTTCTTTTTCGTGTCTTTCACCTTCTCTTTCTTTTCTCTTTTCTCATATTTGTCAAGACTAATGAGCACTTGCTCATGTTCATTAAGCTTACCAAATAAATTTGTGATATCAAATGTAGTTAGATCATTGGCTTCCTTGATTTTCGTGACCTTTGGTTTCCATTCCCTACTAAGACATCTTAAAATTTTATTAGTAGAAACTTCATTAGAAACGGGTCTTTCAAGTGTATGTAAGTGATTGATTACATGAGAAAATCTCTTTTGCATTTTAGCAATGGTTTCACCTTGCTTCATGTGAAAGAGATCAAACTCTTGTGTCAAAGTATTGATTCGAGCTAGTTTGACATCATTAGTTCCCTCATGGGTAACTTGCAATGTGTCCCGCATAGGTTTAGCAGTAGTACAATGGGAAACTCTATGATATTCATCAACTCCCAAAGAAGATATTAGAATATTTCTAACTTTCCAATCATAATTATACTTTTCTCATCTTATTCGTTCCATTGTGCTTTCGACTTAGGCATAACAACATTATTCGCATCGGTCATGGTTATTTCCATAGGACTATTTTGAATAACATTCCATACCTTTGTATCAATAGAATTGATATGCACATGCATACAATCTTTCCAATAATTATAGTTCTCACCTGTAAAAATCGATGCTCTATTGTAAGTCCATTTTGGTTCGTTGGCCATTTTCTAAAAAGTTATTTGCAAAGCACTAGATGAACCAGACTCTGATACCACTTGTTAGACGATTGCAATGATATAGAAGGGGGATTGAATAAATCACTAATTTATTACAAGAGTCGGCGCTTACAAAATTTATTTTAAAAAATTGTGCAGAAGCGGCCAGGGAACCAAGTCGTCTAAACGAACCGTTATCAAAAAGATCGGATATGACCCAAGCCAAATGGAACAACAAATCTAATGAGAAATAGAATCAATAGTTTGATGATTAATAAATACAAATAACAACACTTTAGAGTGTCTAATTTCCAATGACTTATAAAGTGTAAACTTAATTTGACAATAAAGCAAACAGTTTGTGTGCGATCAATTCGTCAAGCACTTGGTGTGCAAAACACTCCAAGTGTTGTTTTCTATGTAATGTAAGTGCAGAGTTTTTGCAATTACAATCCAAGTGATTGTAATGAGTTTTCAAACCAGATTTTCAGCACTACACTACAGCAGAATTTTATCGATCAATTGATATTACACAAACGTTAACAATTCAATATAAAGAGATAGAGAAAGAGAGAACAACACCAAATTTGTTTAGGAAGTTCCCCTTGCGTTCTCGCTTAGGGTATGTCTGCCTTCAATTCTAAAACTAGAATTGAGATATGTATTATCTTGTTGCAAAATTTTATACAAGAGAATCAATAGTAATCACACACTCAAGCCTAGTTGTTGATGTTGATACTACGTCTTCTCCCCCCTTTATTCAAGTTGAATCAAGTGCCTCAAACGTGTTGAACAAACCTCCGGTTACCGCTACTTGTCTGAACAACCCCATTGGTCTTCAAACCTTTCACTTGGCTGATTTCGATCACACACCGTTCGAACCCAAATCTTTCTTAAACAATCCTCTGGTTAACGCTACTTGATTGAACGAACCCACAGTTCTTCAATCCCCTTCACCCGACTGAATCTGTGAAGTAAAAATTTGTGCAAAAACCCCCAAATCCTTAAGATCTTGGAGTACAAAACCCTAATGATTTTATTTAAGAAAAATCCACTGAAATATCAACCCAAAAAGAGATACACAATCCTACGTTTGGATGTTATCACCTCAATGATGCAAAAGATCAACAAAAATTGTTATCTGTAATTGTTGAGAAAATGCAAGAATAAGGATGAAGATGATGAGAATAATTCAGTGTATATCTTTCACTTTTCTTGTTGTGTATATGGAAATGATGAGACAAAATGAATATATATGATACCTTGACCAACTAACAAACATAACAACATCTTAAAACATATCAGATCAAAAAAATAGTCATAAGTCAGCGAACGGTCGACCTGAGCAGGAGGGGGGTCGACCTGAGCACACCTGAATGTAAATTATGCAGAAAATTAAGCTATACGTCGACCCGAACAGGGCCATGCGTCGACTCAAGCTTGCTTCAAAAAGACAAATTGAAATGGTCACAATATGAGTCGACCAAAGGGTCGACGCGAGTAGACTCGAGAGCAAAAGATAAAAAATCAACTTTTGTGAGTTAACCTGAGCAGGGTTTGAGTCGACTCAAACACCCGAAACTTCCAAAAACAAGTTTATGCTCATATCTTGGACCACCTAAGCCATGTTTGTGCAAACCTAAGTCTCCTAACATGATCAAATGCATACAACACATATATGATATGCTCCTATATGTATAGACACACGAGTTTAGAATATTTTGTGCATTGTAAAGCATGAATGCAAGCTACAACACGATGATACCGTTCAAATTACAAAGTACGAGCTACTACACATTTTGAAATCATTAAAATAATGACTGAGGCACCTTGCCCTCACACTCAATTTATTCAACTTTCATCCATTTTGCTTCTCGACATGCAATTTGAACTCTTTGAACTGTGAATAATTCACACTTCCTTTCAATAAGGTAAATCCACATATCTGGTGAATTCATCTATGAAAGTTAGAAAATAGTTGTTACCTCCATGCGAACTTACTTCAAAAGGTCCACACACATTAGAGTGAATGAGCTCAAGCTTTTCTTTTGACCTTATGGGCAAGTCATGTTTGAATACTTTCCTAGCCTGCTTTCCTTTGCAACATTCCTCAGATACCTAACTTGCTGTCCTTTGCAACATTCCTCAGATACCTAACTTGGTCCCTTCACCTGAGGTAAGCCATACACCATCTTCTTCTGGTTGAACATGTCTATAATTCTAAAGTTTAAATGTCCATATTTGTGATGCCATAGCCAGTTCTTGTCTTTTTCTGAGGTCGAAGAAAGACACTTGTGATCAACCGTGTTGATCTCTACTTTAAATGTACTGTTGTTTGCCAATGGTGTCTTTAGAATCAGCCTTCCATCACCATGATACACCTTTATCTGATTCTTGTTTAGCTTCATGTTGTACCCTTTTGCGAGTAATTGACTTACACTTATCAAGTTACTTGTCATCAAAGGTACACACAAGTGATGTTGGCTTTTCGATCATCCTTTATGACAAGAAATATATCTCTTTTCCACCTGATGTGATGTGCCTCCCATGTACAAACTTTATCACTTTTTCAACTGATTCATCTAATTTGGTGAACCAGTTTTTGTTACTGTCATCCTGAATCCAAGTGGAATTCGATTTGCCTGTAGTTAAAAACCCTACGATTACCCACAGTCACATAGGTTTGTGAGAGCTGAGTGTTGTTTTTGAAAGAAGAGAAAAGATAAATTTTCAAACATAATATAATTTTGTGAATGAACCGCAAGAACGGCAAGAAAACCCAACTGCAGTGAATCGTGATCCGGGTGGATAGGGAACTTAGTAAATTTTTCAATAGAAAGCTAGTAAGTAGGTCTAAATTTATGATATAAATTGGCATAAAGATCGATAATATAATTTTTTTAAACTTATTATACAAATTATACAACAAAGTTTGGTGAAAGTCCCGGCAAAAAGAATCTCCTAATACATGGGACCAAAAAAATCCTTGTTTTGATCATGATAGGAATCAATGGGAAACTTGATATACATTAGAATTTACTTCTTTTACAACATTCATGTCAAGGGACTTTCTGATTCGATCTTGATGCTCCTTTTTGAATATACATTATGAACCAAATCATGTCTCACGCATTCTCGGGTGGAGACTCATCAGAAGGCCTGACAAGGTGCTCTCTAATTTGATCTTCATCGTCACCGGTGGTCCCCAATTTGGAGTGTTTTTTAGCAGGATACAGGACATAATGTTGAATAATGAAAATAATGTCAAAGGACACAGATGCCTGCAATTATGTATTCCATTAAAATAAAATAAAAAAACAAAGAATACATGTTTATAATTAAAAGCAAAAACAAGAAACAAAAACGGAAAGTGGAAACAGAAATCTAACAAGCCCTTATTTCCTGAACTAAAATGGAATAGCATACTTCTAAGGTTAAAATAATGATATCGAAACAAAACAGAATTAGAACAGGGACCATAACATTATGTAAAATGAATGGAATGGAGAAGGAAGAAACAAGTGAAGCTTAAGAAAGATGCAAAATATTGCATTAGGAGAGTTTTCCATACCAGAGAGAGCAACACTTTTCCTATATTGCCATAGAAGTTGACCCACGAATCTGGAAAGATGGGATTTATATATGTCAGTTGAAATATAGAGTCAAATGGCGAGAAGACCTATCAAAACACAGAGACGCGAGTTCATGACAAACTAACCCTGATCTATTGATTGCACAACCATCTGTCCATAGTTCGCTATTCCTCCAGAAAAGTCAAGTAGAATGTTACCAATGCTGAATCCATCAGTACTTTTCCTTAGGAAGTTCATGCTTACCTACACTCATAACAAAAGTTATTAAATGAAAAGCAAGAAGCTGGAAATAATGATGTAGAGTTCTCTTTGATTTATTATTATGATTAACTCGGGGGGAAACAACAATTAGTTAAGGTTACTTCACCAACTGCAAATTTTGAACAAAATATTTAATAGTAAGCTACTTAAGTTTATAAAGTGTGTTATTACAGGTCCCGTAGTACATCCGTTATCAACAGAAGAGTGAAGAACTGTGCTAGTGTTATTATTCGATTTTGAGAAACAGTTTATTTGGGGACACTACTACGATGTTGTCTCTGAATTCCATGCCACCAGCACAATGGAAATCATAGAAAAATGGTGCTTCAAATCAATACAGCTATAGGAAGGGTTCAAATTTTTAGAGGATTCCTGATTCCTTTCCTAGATAGAGAGAGAATCAAAGAATTGGGTTCCACCTTAATTCATTCCATTCAATTTGTTCATTTTTTCTACGAAAAAGAAAGATATTAAGTTGGAGTTGAGTACAATGACTTTTGAGAAGAACATGAAAATAGTTTGATATGCATTTAGAAGTACAACCAATAAATTAGGTTCTGTTAAGAGTTTATTTTTGTTATAAAAAAAATGCTACTCAACAATCATTTGCATAGAAAAAGAAAACAAAAGGAAATTCTAACCTGGGGAATGTACTTTATAGTAGTCATAAGCACTTGAATTGAGCTGCAACATCATCAATTTAAACAAAATGTTAGAACAATACTAAATTATATTCACAGGCTATGGCAATCAATCAGATATTTTTCATCATCCCTTTTATAAAATGTTGGTTGAACCAAACTCATTCCTACAAAACAAGCTCGTAAGACAATGATTGCCCCCACTAATAAACATATGTTAATGCCACATACGATCCGATATGAGACTCTTAAACACTCCCTTACGCCCAACACTATCAGGCTTAGGGCGTGGATATAAATGATGGATGGCACGATGGTGAAAACCTAATAGCAGGTGGTCCAAAAGATCCTAAACCGAGCATTGATACATATTATAGTATGTTGGTTGAGCTTAACTCATCCATACAAAACCGACTTGTAAGGTGATGATTATCCCCCACTTATAAATATATGTCCATGCCTCAGTGTTGTTTGAGGTGAAACTCTTAACAATCACAAAATATAGACTTTAACACTATATCAAGGGTAGCATTACCAAGCTTAACATTACCATTAACAATAAGCAACGATCCCATTCCAAAAAAAAAAAGAGTAATGCATTTAACCACACAAGCACATATAATCAATCACAGGAGCAAAGTTGAAAGTCAAAAAGCCCAAAACAGGATTAAATTAACCACACAAGCAGAGGCAGCATACTTGAAGATATTGAGAAGCCAAAGCCATGAATGATCAGACAAAGCAACAAAGAAACAAACAGCAGCCGTCAGCCAAACAACAGAGACAATTCCAATCGAAATTTTCGACAATTTCTGACTTCCACGCTATAACAAAATAGTTTCCAAGTTCAGAAAAACATAAAATTCACTCATAAAATACCCCCAAAAAGAAGTACAACTTTTCAAACAAGAAGAAACATCATTTTTACTTCATAGATTGCAATCTGGAACAATGCAACGGCCGTCAGCAGAACAGCATGGCTTGAAAAAGCAACATCATTTGCTGCCACCGGTATCATCTGAAAAACATAAAATCATAACGGTATTTTAAAAGATTAAAAATAAAAGCGATTAAAGTTACAAGTTGGTGAAGGAACATTACCTGGTCATAACCGTATTTCTGAAAATATTGATTCTGAATAGCAGAGCTAAAGTAGAGAGAAGCATTGTATATGAGATAGGAACTATGTTTCGTTAGGTTTAAGAGAACGAAATCAAAGTTGAGTCCAACAACGCTGAAATTGAAAAATTGAGGGTTTGAATTAATCAAACGGAATAGGTAGAGAATGAAAATGATTGAAGAAGAAGAACAAGAAGAAACAGGAACCTTTTTCTTCTAAAATTTAAGATGACTTGAGGGTAGAAACTGATGGACCATGCAATAAAAGCGAACCAGCCAAGAAATTCGTAGGTTAGTTCTAATGAAACTGAATTCCAAGACGCCATGTCTATCTTCACTTTTCTTCTCTTACAACTATCAGCGAGAATTATAATTCCGAATCAATCGTTGATGACAATGTTACGCATACCAAGGCATTGAAAGCAACACGTTATGACGAGTAATTTGTTCGGCTCAACACTCAAGGATCAATGAATTTTGGATGCTATTCCAGGTAGATGCATTCAGTTATCAAAGTTCTTTTAGAAATTTATTTTAAATTTTAAAATTGAGAATAACTTTTTAAAGTGTTATACTATTTATAAAAAATTATTTATAAATTTATTTTCTTCTTATAAATAATGAAAATTATTTTTTTTAAATTCGTTAAGAAATTGATTTATCCGAAGTGTTTAATAGATCAATAATGAGTTTAAAAGTTAATTTTTTTTTATCAATAAAATCAGAGAAAATAGTATTTTAAGTTTTGAAAATACTTCAATTTAGTAAATACATAAACACAAACATGTGGTTAACATAAATTAAATTCAAGAATATAATATATAATATATCAATAACAAAAGTAATACATCAACATAAATTAAAAATAATTATTGAAATAAAAACAAAAAAAAAAAATCATTAAACATACAAACTAACAACTCTATCATGTTCTAAATTAAGTTCTAAAGGTATAATTAATTACAAAGTCTCTTAAATTTAATTTAATGTTCGGTTTTAGTTTTTTAATTAAAAAATATTATAAGTTAGTCTCTTAACTTTCACTTTTGTGACTCAATTTGGTACATTCCGTCAACTTATGATAAAAATATTAAGTTTTGGTGACGTGGTGTGATATCAAGGTCATTGGTACAAATTTGATAACATATATAGTTAAAACTAGTACATTGTTTAAACTGCGGGTGTTTTGTTTTCGGAGGTTAAAAACAAAACCTCCAAATCATTAATTTCTAGTAAGCTTTTCGAATTTTCGATAAATTTTGAGTTTTAGTGTAAATGTGTAGAAATCAAATGATTAGAGTTAGAAATGTGTAGAAATCACATGTAACATAGTTTAGACTTAGTGAATAACTTGTTTGTTACCTGAAAATGGCGATCAGATCATGTTTTTTCAACTTGCAAGAGGTGCATTTGTCATTGACGTGACCTCTGTGTTGTAAAACATTCTAAAGATGCATCTCTGAAATTTTTCAAAGTTATAGTTTTATGGTGTTTCCGGAGATGCATCTTCAGAATTGTTCAACGTTATTGTTTTATGGTGTTTCTGGTGATGCATCTCCAGAATTTCCTACAATATATTTTTTTTATTTTCATGTTTGTGTGTGTTGTTTGTATGCATTAATGATATGTCTTACTTTACCTTACATACATAATGACTGATAGAGTTGACAGACTGAGACATGGCAGGGTTGCTTAACACGCATCCGTTCAGCGGGAGCGAAGCCAGCAGGTTCCAGAGGGTTTTAGAGGAGGTCCATCTAATTTGTCCTTACTTCTTCTGTATCCAAACCATATTGCCAAACATATTCGGGATAGAGAGATAACATTAGTTGAATTTTTGTTTTATTTTTTACGTTAATTTTAATAGTCGACATTGATTATTATTAACATTGATTATTTTTGGCAAATTTCAGAAGCGTGATCCCCAGAAGTTTATTAACCATGGGAGGGAGGAAGATTGTTGCAATGCCTCAGCAAGAGGAGGATTGGTTTCAGTCGGTTTTGTTATTATCTGGCATGAAGGACCTATGCATGATCGGTTACACTCTGGTCAACCACGAGATATTTAATGCATTCGTGGAAAGATGGCATTCTGAGACCTTTTGGTTTCATCTCTCGCATGATGAGATGTCTATCACACTGGAAAATGTCTCGTGTTTGTTACATTCTTCGATCAGGGGTAAATTTCTTGATCATGGGAGGATAATCAAAGATGAGGCAGTCGAGATGATGGTAGAGCATTTAGGAGCTGATCCAGAGAAGACAATGAATGAGGTAGATAGGACCAGGGATGCTCATGCTAGATTTGAGTTCCTGAAGAAGATATATGATGATAAGATCCTTAGTGCACAACGGGCTCATGGTGATGTTGAGCAGGTGACAGTACACAAGACTCGTACTTTAAGGGCATACTTTCTATTTTTTGTTGGCACTTACATTTTGCGGACACGAGTGTCACTTATATTGACGTTGAATACCTCCACTACTTCTTGGATCTCACTCGAATCCACGAGTATAACTAGGGGGGCTTCTTGCTTGGCCTATCTTTATTCGTAGTTGAGAGAGGGATGTCAGTGGAAGACGAAGTAGGTCATAGGCAGCTTGCCACTACTGATGGTAATAATTCTTGATCCTTAAATGTTTTTTTTGCCATTTTCATTTCATATTTGGGAAACCTTTACTGATAATCCTTGATCCTTTGAGTATTTATTTATTTATTTTCATTTCAGGCTTGGATCCTCCAACACTTCCCGTGCATCATTGGTTAGGCAAGCGTGCTCGTGTACACTGAGGATATGTCGTGTGTAACACCCCAATTTATTTAATTTATTTTCATAAATAATTATATAATTGTATGTGTGCTTGTTGATATTTTGGTGGTGTTGGATGGACCCTTAGATGAAGGGTAGTGACCTTAAAAATGTTGAATTTAAGGTAGTTGAGTAAAATTGTAGAGATTTGGGGGTGGTGGAATAGTGTTATTATTATTACTATTTAAATGGGAATTATATAATAAAATAATAGTAATAGTGATGATTAAATAATTATTTAATTTGTATTAGTCATAGTGACATTATAAGATAAATAATTATTTTATTTAATTGGAATTATTATTATTTTATTTAGTTGGAATAAAAGAGTAATTAGAAGTTAATTAGAAATATAAAAGAATAAGAAAGAGGGGGAATTGATATCAGAGTCAGAACACATGAAAAGTTTAAGAGAAGAGAAGAGAGAAAGAGTTAGGGCTTGATGTAGAGGAACAACCCCATTGTTGAAGAACTTTGCTAGGAATTACTAGGTAAGGGTGAAATCTCCTTTCATATAGGGTTTTGCATGACAATAATGTGGGTGGGTGTTTCGATGCTTACTTGAATGACTTTATCTTCTATGTGATGAGTTATGGAATTGTATGTTAAATCCATGTTGATGGGTGTTTGGTTGATTTGTGTGATGACGAATTGTTGTTGTTGTTGGGTGTTGTTGGGAATTAGATTTGAAACCTGAGTTATGAATTAATAATGATCATTTTGGGGGTTTTAGGATGCTTTGGAAACTAATTTTCGTATTAAAAAGTAGCATAAAATTTCTTCTATTGCAGGTGTAACCGGTTACGCCTATTGTGATAATTGGTTACCACTGAGATAATTTTTGTGAAAAAGTGATTTTTTAGCAGGTGTAATCGGTTACTGGTTTTAGTGTAACCGATTACACTATGCAAAAATAGTGTAAATTAGGCGTTTGAAAAGAGTGTAACCGGTTACGATTTTTGGTGTAACCGGTTACACTGGGAAACAAAAGCATATTATGTGTGTTTTGAGGGGTGTAACCGGTTACGGTTTTTGGTGTAACCGGTTACACTGGGAGGAAAAATTTAGAAAACATTGAAAATTCATAACTTGAGTTCTGGGTGTCCGATTAAGGTGTCGTTTGAAGTGTTAGAAAGCTAACACAATAAAATTTATTTTAAAAATAGTTCAAGTATCTAGAATTTATTTAAATGTTGTGTGATGGTGTTGGATGATGTGTGGTTTGTGTGTCGTAGTGTGGGACATGCATGAATATGATGTTGTTGCTTGCTATATTATTATATTGTTGTTGCTGAATGTTTATAGCATGTGTATGGTGAATGGTAGCCAATATTGGCGTAGTACATTGATCAAGGTGAATGTCATTTTACATGGTGTTGTTGTTGCATATCTTGTAAGAATCATGCATCATGGTGTTTGGATTGTGGTTCGTTTTGGTGAGCCTCAATCCTATGGTGGGAATTGGGAGCGAGTAGCTAATTCCTATGGTGATGGACTTAGTGAAGCATAACCTATGATGATGGTAATAATTTTTGGTGGGCTCTGATCCTATGATGGGGATCAGAGCGAGTGAATCTAAGAGTTCACAATTTGGTACTACATGCATTGAGTCCTGAGTGGAGTCTCTTTGCATTTGCATTCATATTGCATTATGTGGTGTAGATTATTGGAGTGTGTGTTGTGGAATGGGTGATTATGAATATGTTGTTGGTGTACTTACATATTATTATGCATTTCTTTATATGATTGTGATTTCTCACCCCTTTTGTTTGAATGTTGTCTTTACATGGGCATCATGCAGATAATTTGCAGTAGATGCTTGGATTGTAAGTGGAAGAGGTTGCTCTTTGTTTTGCCTTTTGTTGAGTCGACATCTGTTCTAATATGCAATACTAGGGGTTGAACACTTATTTATCTACTTTATGGTTTGTGGATTTTTCCATGTGATCTTTGATATTTATTAGTTTCTCATGATTACTTTATATTATTATTATTACTATGGTTTGAATAATTAAACTAATCAGTTGTTGATGTTTTTCCCGCTACATTAAAATTTAAAGAGATTTCACTATAGTTAGACTGAGTGTACAACTTACTTTCTAACCTATAGGTAGATTAAAGGCTCTTAACACCTTTAAAATTTGAACACTAAGTGCAAGAAGAACAATCCTCTTTAATGCACACACTTGCTTTCAACAATCCTGAATAGCAAGGGGAATAAATATAATCTTTGATTTACAATGAATTTGAAACTTGTGTATACAATGTTTATCAATGTTGTGATTGATCTTCTCTTTCAATGATAATTTCCACAAATATTTAAGACTTTGTTGCTCAAGAATTTTCTTTCAAAAGATATGAAAATATGCAAAAAATTCTTTATGAAAAGTGATTTGATTCAAGATGTGGAAATATGAAAATTATAGTAGAGATTTTTGAAAGAGGTTGTTTTTGAAAATTGAAAGTTTGTGATATTTATAAGTCAAAAACACCTCTTTGAATTATCATGCAAATCT